CCGACCGTTGGAGCGCGCGCGTTGATCAGACTCTGGGCCGAGTCCGGTCTCACTCGATCGGACGCGTCCGGTCGCGCTGGCACCGCTCTGGAACCTTTCTGGACATGATCGGACGCTACTTCTTGGTGCGTCTGGTCGTCTTGCCGTCGCGTCCGGTCACACTAAGAACGTTGTCGTTGATGATGAACAGTGAAGTTCGTGCGTCCGGTCACTGCCTCGCTCAGCGTCCGATCGCTGCTGCGGATGAGCAACTGATCGGACGCGTCTGGTCCTCATAGGTCCACGTCCGGTCACCTCTGCGAGCTTGTTTCTTCGCGATCTTGCGTCCGGCTTGGTTCCCATCTTCGTGCTTAGACTTTGCTTGATATCTTGGGTCTTCTCTTGTGCTTCTAGGGTCTTGCTTATGGTGCTGATCGTGGGATCATCATGTTACCTTCGTCCAAGTCACGTCTTGCACCCTATTGAACTACAAAACAATTACTTGCAAATTCATTAGTCTAATTTGGTTGTGTTGGTCATCAAACACCAAAATCCAAAGTAAATGGGCCTAGGGTCCATTTTCCTTACACTAACACTTGAGTATACATGGCCAAATAGACCGCACGGCACAACCCTGGCACGGGCACGGGCAGGCACGGCATGGGTAGGCATGACACTACGTGGCACGGTAGCTTAGTCGTGTCGTTCCTGATAGTGCCACAGTGTCGCCGTGCTACCGTTTTGGCCCAGGCACGGCACTACGGCCTCTTACTCATGCCGTGTCGTGCCACCGAGCACGGCGGCCCAACGTGCTAGTGTCGTTCCAAGCACTATCGTAGTTTAGAGATCCCCAAATTCATAGCGACCATAGCACAGTTTGAAAAGGAAACTTAGCAATCATAGATCGAGAATGGAAATAGATCGATGAATGAAAGAAAAATCCATCAAGGAACACAGATGGAGAAATCCTCAATATTTCTCATAAATCCACACATCACAGGTTAGCCCGGGGCCGCCGACGTCGACGCAGTGCGGGGGTCAGGGCCTGGGTCGCCGTGGCAGTGCCGGGGCTGGGGCCGCCGCCGCCAGCTTCATGAGCTGGCGCGCACCGCGCGTCTATGTGTGTGAGAGAAGTAGGGAGGGTTAGGGAGAGGCCGAGAGTGAGAGCGCAGCTCGCAGGAGAGCTGGAGAGGAGAGTTAGCTAGGGTTTCAGGCACATTTTTCTTTATATATGCCACTCTCAGCTCATCCAACGGTGTTGGTGGTGATGGCATCCAACGACCGGGAGGAATCGTGTTGTTATCGTGCCGGTCCATTATCCGTGCCATGCCTGTGTCGGCACTGCGGGCGGGTATCGAGGTCTAGGCACGGCACTACAACCAGACCGTGCCAGGCACCTAGGCACGGGCATGATGGGAGCCAGGCCGGGCCGTGCTTTTTAGTGCCGTGTTAGTGACGCCCAACGTACCTAGCCCATTTAGCCAAGTATACACTTGAGCTAATGTGGACGCTACATGCAAACGTGGAGACCGGGCATACATCAAGGTGGAGCGTTGGGCACGGGCTAATATGCTCCGGCGTTTCTTCTCCTAGGCCACAAACTTCACAAGTTGTGCTGTCCACAACATGCTTTTAAACAGATTTGACCGGTGCTGAATTCTTCTTTTGAGTAAGAGGTAGGTTGCATTCATACCACCACACGTCCAGCGGTCCACAGTATTCTCTACAGTACATCAATCGATCTTCGGTTCTCCAACAGACCACAACCATGGCTTTCTCCTGCGTCCTTCTGCTCGTTGGTCGGCATCTCGTGCGACCACCGCGGGTGGCGCGTCACCGGCCTCGAGTTCACCGACGTGCCACTCCAGGGCAGCATCGCCCCGCAGCTCGGCAACCCCTCCTTCCTCTCCAGCCTTGTCCTCAGCGACAACAGCCTCGTGGGCTCTGTGCCAGACGAGCTTGGCGGTCTGCCCCGGCTCCGAATCCTTGTCCTTTCAGACAACAGCTTGTCAGGTACCATCCCGCCCACCCTTGGCAACCTCACTAGGCTGGAGTCGCTCGATCTTGACAGTAACAACTTGTTCGGGGAGATTCCACATGAGCTGCAAAATTTGCGCAGCCTTCAGACGTTAAATTTGGAAATCAATGACCTGAGCGGGGCACTAATGTCAGGCCTGTTCAACCACACGCCAGATTTGAGCGTAATACGTCTTGGTTCAAATAGACTAACGGGAGGAATCCCAGCAAGCATTGCCTCCCTGTCAAAGCTGAAGATGCTTGTCCTGCAAAAGAATCTTCTCTCCGGACCCATGACGCCTGCTATCTTCAACATGTCCCAGCTGCAAGCAATAGGTGTCGCCAGGAACAATCTCTCAGGTACGATTCCTGGAAATGAGAGTTTTCACCTCCCTATGTTGCAAGTGATCTCTCTTGGGGCATGTTCTGTTGTGGATCAATCCTGGCCTGGATTCAATCCCATTCCTCCCTAAAATACGTGTTCAGTTAGCCTGTGAAACCCTATATACCGGGTCTGTTTCGATTATACAGCCGCACCCCCGCCTGCAAAGACCTGGCTATACGGCCGCACCCCACCAGGAATGAAACCACTACTCTGGAGTCATGGAACGAATCCCCCGGAGGCGAGCGCGACGGCTGCGGCGCTAGGTCCTCCCACGGCATCGGCACAAGATCTTGCATACCTGCGAATTGGAGGACTCGCGATGGTCAGTCTCGCTACACACGTACCCCTGGTTCAATCCCTCCTGGATTGGTTCCACTGCAACCGAACATGGCCTTGAAAACCAGTTCGAGGGTCCTATTCCCTTGGGCCTCTCTGCCTGCAAGAACCTCGAACCGCTCGCCCTTGCAGTAAACAACTTCACTGGTACTGTGCCATCATGGCTAGCAACACTGCCCAACCTCACTATAATATACTTGTCAACGAATGACATCACCGGGAAGATCCCGATTGAGCTGTGCAATCATACCAAGCTTGTTGGTTTGGACCTCAGCGAGAACAAGCTAGAAGAGAGGATTCCGACAGAACTGGGACAGCTGACAAACCTCGATTATTTAAGTTTTGCAAGTAACCAAATAACTGGTGATATCCCTGAATCCATAGGCAATCTGTCTGAACTTACCTTAATAGACTTATTTGGAAATGGGTTGACTGGATCAGTGCCAGTGTCATTTAAAAACTTGCTGAATCTCAGTACAATGTTTCTCCTCAAGAACCAACTCAGTGGGACGATCGCCCATTTCCTGGCTGCATTATCCACATGCAGGAGGCTGAATACCATTCACATTGCATACAATACATTTACAGGGAGTTTACCACCCTACGTGCTTGTTTGGCTGCACTCTAATACACCCCTGTGGATTGGGGTGTATTAGAGTGCAGCCAAACAAAACCGTGGGAAACCTTAGCACAATGCTTCAATATTTCATAGCAGATCAGAATAGGATCACAGGAAGCATCCCTAGTACGGTGGCTAATCTGAGCAACCTATTGGTACTGTCTCTCAGTGGAAACAACCTGAGTGAGAAGATCCCCACACCAGTCATTGCGATGAATAGTCTCCAAGAACTCGACCTCTCCTACAACAGCTTGTCTGGCACTATCCCAGAAGAAATCAATGGATCAACAAGCTTGGTTAATTTGAATCTTCAAGGCAATAAACTAGCCGGTTCCATTCCAAGCGGTTTCGGTAGCCTAATTCAGCTGCAATATGTGGCATTATCCCAAAACTCATTTTCCTCAGAAATACCAACAAGTCTGTGGAACCTTCAGAAACTTATTGAGCTTGATCTCTCACAGAACTCTTTGAGCGGTTCCTTACCCGCAGATGTCAGGAAACTGATAACAATCAGCAAAATGGATTTATCAGACAACCAGCTGTCAGGTGACCTCCCAGTTTCCTTGGGTGAACTTAACATGATGATTTATATGAATCTGTCTAGAAATTTATTCCAAGGATCAATACCAGATTCACTTGGCAAGTTACTTAATATTGAGGAATTAGACCTCTCCTACAATGTTCTTTCCGGTGTCATTCCCAAGGCCCTGGCAAACCTCTCTTACCTTGCCAACTTGAACCTTTCTTTCAACAGACTTGAGGGACAGATACCAGAAGGAGGTGTGTTCTCAAATATCACCCTGGAATCATTGATGGGAAACAACGCACTATGTGGCCTTCCCACCCTAGGAATAGCACCATGCCAGAACAAAACTGATCACTCAAGATCAAAACAACAGCTGTTAAAAGTCCTACTACCTGCAGTCCTGGCATTTTTTATTTCAGCCACTTGCTTGTACATGTTGGTGAAAATAAAGATAAACAGGAAAGGAAATACGCCACTAGCCTCAGGCACAGACTTGCTGAGCTACCAGTTGATCTCATACCACGAACTTGTTCGCGCAACCAGCAATTTCAGTGATGATAACCTGCTAGGGGCTGGAGGCTTTGGCAAAGTCTTCAAAGGCCGGCCAGATGATGAATCTGTCATCGCAGTAAAGGTACTCAATATGCAAGATGAATCAGCTTCCACGTGCACTGCGAATGGTTCGGCACCGAAACTTGCTGAGCATAATTAGCACTTGCTCTAATCTCGACTTCAAAGCATTAATTCTTGAGTACATGCCCAATGGTAGTCTGAATGATTGGTTGTACTCAGATGATGGGCGGCAACTCAGTTTCCTACAAAGGGTTGGCATCATGCTGGATGTTGCAACAGCAATGGAGTATCTAAACAGCCAGCTCTTAGAAGCTGTATTACATTGTGATATAAAACCAAGCAATATTTTGCTCGATGAAGAGATGACTGCACGTGTTTCCGACTTTGGCATTTCCAAGTTGCTAGTTGGAGATGACAACTCCATCACTTAACAAGCATGCCCGGCACTGTAGGATACATGGCTCCAGGTAATTATGATTTTTTTCCGACGTATGAAGCAACATGTATCCTTAGTTCCTACTGTATTTGATAAGCTGGCTGGTTTTCTTTTGACATGGAATGGACAGAGTTTGGATCAACAGGAAAAGCATCACGAGCCAGTGACATCTACAGCTACGGAGTTATTCTCCTTGAAGTCTTCACAAGGAAAAAGCCAACTGATCCAATGTTCATCGGTGAGTTGAGCCTGAGGCAGTGGGTCAGCCAAGCATTCCCGTGTGAGCTATCTCATGTTGTTGACTAGCCTACTGCAATACAAACAGGAGTATTGTATTGAAGATACAAGTAGTCCTCCTGAGGACTCCATCTTGAATGCCTGCCTAGCGTCCATAATTGATTTGGCTTTGCTTTGTTCAAGAGCTGCACCTGATGAAAGGATCCCGATGAGCGATGTGGCTGTGAAGTTAAACAAGATCAAGTCATACTACAATACCAGAGAAGATCCAAATTTTTTGCTTGGAGTCAAACCTGCAATGGCCTGGCAACGATGAAAAATAGGAAAATAAGAAATCTGAGAACGGATAGTACATGTCGATTGCGCGGTAATGGGGAGAGGAGGACATATTGTAATATTCCATGCAATCATGTTGTGTAAAAATTAGTTGGGGTGATATCCGAGTCCAGATATTCAATATCCGATACCGTATCCGTATCCGAATACTTCAATCATATATTTATGATGTCGATATCTATTCGTATTCTCTCCGACATAGTTGATACTATCTGTATCCGAATCCGAACAGAAACATGAAAACAAATGTAATATTAGCAATATCCGGTCCATATGCGATACGTTTGCATCCCTAGTAAAAAAAGCAAGAGCTCTACTTATGGAAATAAATAAAAAAAGATTCTGATTCTAGATCTACACCTAGTTTGTTTGGTTGGAGAGCAAGATAAAATAGAACTATTCCATCCCTAGTTCAAGGATGTAATATGATTCCATATTGTTGTTTGGTTGTAGTTGTAGAGATGGAACAACTCTATTTTTGTGTTTGGTCGACAGAAGGGAATGATTTCATATTGTTGTTTAGGACCCGTTTGGCACAACTCTTCCTAAAATGCTTCTCTGGAGGAGTCGGAGCACTTGTGGAGGAGCCACTTTTATGGGACTCTGGCTTCTCACCCAAAAACGGTTCCGGTCCGTCTGCTTGTTCACCAGAAAACGACTTCTCATCCTAAAGTGTTTGGTCCGGCTCCTCCGCAGAAGCTGGAACGAAGCTAGAATCGTGCAAAACAAGACCTTAGTTGTTGTAGAGATGGAACGGCTCCAATAAGGGTTAGTGTAACACCCTTTCCTCTCCCATGTCTCTCGCCGTGCTTCTTGCCACGTGCTGTGCCACCACTGTTCCCACATTGCCGGTTGTCGTTCACGTGTGGCCATGTTCGCTTGAACTACTTTAGCAGTATTTTTCAGCGAACGAACAGTTTTTCTCTCACAACAAATCAAGCATCAACATAAGCCAAATTTTAGCAAAACGAATAGGGCCCACCCCGTTGTCGCCGCCACTGCTACTGCTCGCGCCTGGTTGCTGCCGCTCCTCGTCATCCTCGCATTGCTGGCCACCGTTCACGTGCAGCTCGAGCGTCATTGTCGCCGTCGTTCACGCGCAGCCATGCCCATTACTACTTGGGATGTTGCTGCTGTCGTCGCTGCTCTCGTCCGGTTGCATTTGTATTGCAAAATCAAACGGTGGATTTGGTGTGTTTGATTTTAAGACTCATAATGAGGCAATCCGAATCTACACAAATTCTTTAATAGAACGAACATTCATTTGGTGCATTTCATCTGGGAAACATGTTATAGAAATGGTAAGTTGCCCAACAATGTTAAGGGCTCCTTTGGATCGAGGATTGGCAAAGGAATTTTGTAGGATTCAATTTACTAAGGATTTTTTTTCTACACTTCCCATTGGTTTATAGGAAAAGGCAAGTAAGTATTCTATAGGATTGCAATCCTATAGCTAAATTTCACATGAAAAAAGCAAGAGCTCAAACCTCATAGAAACTTTCCTGGCGTGAAAAGTAATGACTGGCATGCTTCACTCGCATCTATTCAGGCTGGGGTTTTTTTTCATGTTTGGCGCTAAAACACAGCCTTAGTGTTTCTTCTAAAGAGGACTTGGGCCTCAATCAAAAGCTACCTTTACTTTAAATGCTCAACAAGTAGTTGTTCAGATTAACAAAAAATGGAAGCATACAATTCCTTTGTTTTACTTGAGCTCCAACCAAAGACCCTCTCATCTATTTTTCTTTGTTTTCAATTCTTATTGGATTAGGGAATCATGGCATCTCAGTTCCTATATTTTTCTATTCCTATATTTTTTCTATATTATGTTCCAAAAAGGGATCCTCATTTTGGTGGCATGACATTTTGAAACTTTTGGACTAACCATGAGGGATGGATCTTCGTCTCTTCTCTATGGACTCTGCAAGGTATCCCAATCCATCTACCCCCGGGGAGTTTCAGACCCGACCCAGCCCCGCACCGCAAGGAGGCCCCCGAGCCCCGACCCTAACTAGGAGCCCATCAGCGCCGTCTCCGCCTAGTCGCTCGCCGTACCACCTCCTCAGACACGGGCGGCGGTCATGCCGCCTCCGCGTCCGCCGCACCCCCCACCTCCCCCTCCTCCGCCGCCCGGGCCGCCTCCTCTACGCGCCCATCGCCTCCCTCTCCCGCCCACCCGCCCGGCCCCCGCGTCTCTCCTCCTCTCGCCGCCCTCCTCCCCAGCCCGTGCCCTCGCGCTTCTCTTCCCCGACTCCTCCGCCCACCTCTTCCCTTCCCTACCCTCCGTCGCCACCTCGTCTTCGCCCGCTCACACCCCCGTCCCGTCACCACTCGCCGCCGCCGCCTGCTTCGCGCTCCTCCTCCCGTCCTCACACCTCCTCTTCCTCTCCGCGCATCCGTCCCCTTCCTCCCCCTCTGTCCACCTCCGCGCCTATTCCCTCGCTTCCGCGCCCGCTTTCCCGCGCTTTGCGCCCGCCTCGCTCTCCTTCAAGCGCCATGCCTCAGCCGCAGGCCTGCCGCTCCAGGGCCTACCCTTCGGCCTCGGCGTCCGCCTGGCCGGCGGGGTCAACGCCGTCGCGCTGCTCTCCCTGTCCACCGGCCAGATCTGGGTGCTCGCTCCGAAGCTGGCTGCGGACGGCCGGACGGTGGAGCTACACAAGTGCGCGGTCGTCGAGCTCGAGCCGACGCGGCCCGTGTACGCGATGGAAGTCGCAATGGGAAGGCTGCTGCTCGGGGAGGCTGGCGGCTTGCGCGTCTTCCCGCTGCGGGGTTTGATGAAGCGCGGAAAGGAGAGGGAGGGGAAGAAAGAAGTTGCTATGGCGGTAGGGAGGAAGGCCTGCCACAAGATGTACGGGATGCTGAATGGCTTAGTTGTGCCAGTTAAGCGTGTTAGCTATGGGGGCAGTGGTGAAGGCGATGTTGTTTCCACTTGTGAGTACTTCACACCTTCTTGTTTTGATCAATTCGGTGATCATCATTGGTATAATGTGAAATAAAAAGACACTGCAGCACGGCAGGATTGAATTTCTGTTTGTAATGCGGGTTTGAAGGATCTAAGCTAGGCATACATGTGCCGGGGTGCAACTTTTGGTTACTACCCTAGCTGTTCGTGCGTATCAAACAGCAAACTGACAATAACTGATAGGTTCATGCAAGATAAAATACAAACTATGCGATGGTATTTTAGTATTTTACTTCTGCATTTATTGTGTTTGTAGTTACGCGAACATGTACGTCTCATGCCTACTTATTAGAGATTTGAGCGGTAAGCAGCCAGTTTTGTTGAGTTTGATGATAATTAGCATAGTCGGTCTATCCTATTGCAATATATTGCTGTCCATGCAGAGACAGTGATCATATGCGTTTTGTCGAAGTTATAGTTCTAGATTGATATTGCTATCCTCATAACGATAAGAGGAAATAGAGCAAGGCAAAGTTGTGTCCAGACCTCTTGGTGCTGTGTATGAAAAATGGGAATAAAATTATCGCAATGGACGAAGCATATCCAGCATTCAATGTTCATTAGTGATATAAATAGACTCTAGCCTCTCAAAGGACTACATTCTTCAGGGAATGCTTTGTGTGGGAATGATCGCTGTGATCCAGTGTAACCATACATGATTCTTTGATACACTGTACAGGTTATATTGATACTAAAGTAGAGATATATTGCTACTGGATATAGTAGGTGTGCCGTAGAATCTACTCAGAATCAACTAATCTATGGTCCAAAATTATGCTTTTCAGGTAAGCTCACAACTCTGAGGGTAAAACAGAGTTCAGGAAGCTATTGCTCTTTTTTGTTGGCATTTCAAAATGATGATCACAAGTCAGAAGGCAGCATGGAATTGCTGAAATCAGTGAAAGCTGTTTCGATCCATCCTCTTTCCAAGAACAAGTTTTTGGTACTGGATTCATCTGGAGTGTTGCATGTCTTCAGTCTTTCAACAACAGAAATGGGCTCAGGAGCTGCCAGCAAGCAATATTCTGAAAATATCCATACATATCGCTTGGATTATCCCATGAAAGTGCAATTATCTGCTGTCTTTTCAGTTACCTCTATAAGTGAGTTCTTGTTCTGAATTTGCTGTCTTATTTCACATTATGGTTTACTTCATTAATAAATATGTTCAGAGTGTTTGTGCAGAGACACAAATTTTTTGGGTTTCAGATGGTGGACATACTGTACATGTAATGTCAGCGGTTGAGACTGAATCCCCAAACGGTGACAATGGAGACGTTACCGGAGAAAGAGGGTTAGCAACTATCAAGCTTTCAGGTTGTGGCATCCTAGTTCTTCAATCATACATCTTATTTGTCAAATATCTTATTCTTAGCTTAATCTGACCACAAATTATAAATTTACGTGATGTATAAGTGAAATTTGCCTGGCTGTGCATAGTTTGCATTGTTTTACTTTTTGATTGGTTCATGCTAACCTGTTAAATAAAATCAACTGTCAGTTCACAGATGTTTTCCATTGGCTGTTGCGTTAAGCTTATTTTTTAGGTTAATTATATCGTATAACATGTACACCATAATGACCTTACCTCAGTTGAACGTAATTATGTCTTGTGCAGCTATTGAAGCAATCTTTGCAAGTGAAAGAGTTCAGGACATTGTATCTATCTCCAAAGATTCAGTCCTTATCCTTGGTCAAGGTGAGAGGAGTTTGTGATATATATTCTAGACTGCCAGGCATGTTGTGGTCATCTAGATATGCTTTTTTAGCTTTGTTTTGAAATTTTCCTAACTTGATATTATGTCCCAGGCAACATGTTTCTGTATGGAACTTCTTGAATTTGGTTGTTTATCATGTGCGGTAAGTATAATCAAATCACAATTTTTGCATGTTACTATTCCTACAATAATTGCTTCAGCATACACCCTCAAGTTTCATTTGATATCAGGTTGCATGTTACTATTCCTACAATAATTGCTTCAGCATACACCCTCAAGTTTCATTTGATATCAGGTGGATGCATCACTGTTCTTTAGGGCATGGTTCAAGAATTTGCAGCTTTGGATGGGGTTTTGGCTAAAGACAGGATGGGTTAGTTCATTAATTATCAACTGATTTAAATTTCTCTATTTCTGTTACCATTGTAATTTGTTGCCTTCTAATGCTTCCTCCATTACTCTGAAGTTTTGGTGATTTTGAAGATGAACTTATCCACCTGTCCTTGAAGTCGTGAGCTTTACTATTTATTAACCACTGTAAGCAGATGAAAAGCTCATGTCTTCCACAGAGGACAGCAAGAATCGGAAGGTGCATGATTCTCTACCTTGTATACTGGTTTGCTACTACATATTTCTGCAACTTTGCAAACTTGCAGTGCCATATTTCTGCTCACCTCATGGAAACTTTTGAGCAGGTGATGCCAGATTATGGACAGACCATGCGGTAATGGCCCTATTGCTCTGCATGCGTATTTTACATGCAAAGACTGGCACAACTCTTGTTGGTATGACTTGGAGAAGAGCAATGCTGCAAAATCTATTCCCAGGCTCAGTTGCCGAGGAAAGTGGATCATCATGAGATCATGAGACCGTTCAGTTATGGAATTATACATCTGGTGCTAGTGTAATTCAGAGACTGGACTTGCGGTGTCGTTGAGTTGAGGATTGGGCATGCTACTGTGGGGGACCTCGGAAAAGGAATAATGTAGTTGTCGGTGCGAAAAGTGATCAATAAGTAAATATTTGTTGTTTTGCCGTACGTTATAATTGGATGTGGCCTAACACTCAATGACACATGGTTTATACTGGTTCAGGCAATGTGCTCTACGTCTAGTTTGAGTCGGTTGGTAACTTTATTCCTGAGTCTAGGTGCTCGAAGTTTACTATGGGGTTACAAACGAGTGGGAATAAGATGGGGTGTTAGAGGTCCGGTCGGACTCTGGACTGAAGGGTCGAGAGTGACGGGAGCTCCTACGTGCGCTAAGTATTGGAATATATGCTCTGTGTAGCTTTAGCGTTCTAGAGCCGTGAAGCTATTCGAGAGCTCTAAATGTCTAAAGCTAGTCAAGAGAGTCAGAATGATCCGTTTGTCATCCGTTTTACAAGAGAGGCGCATTTCTTTTTATAGGTGAAGGGAATGGTCTTACAAATGAGAGAAAGAAAGTGTGTGTTAACTAGTCTTGCTCATGTCGTCGGGTATAAGATGGTTTGTCGGCATCCACAATACTCACAATACTGTTGATGCCTATATGCATGTGGTAGGTTCCATCATGTTCTTCTGGTATGGCAAATGTCGGCGCCTACCATATTGTAGGACAAATGTCGATACTCACAACATTGTTCGTGTTCTGACATGTCTTGGAAGGTTGCAAAGCATCCTTCTGACATGGTCTGATAGTACTATCCTGTAGTAAATGTCGATACCCACAACACTGTTCGTGTTCTGACATGTCTTGGAAGGTTGCAAAGCATCCTTCTGACATGGCCTGATAGTCTGCATAGGTATGGTTCTCCTTGATATTGCGGTTGACTTGAGTGTCTTACCTTATCTACTCCGTCTGATTCTTGGGTCCTTACTGAGCGGGTGTCTCCGTTCGGTCGTTTCCTAGTCGGCTCCGACCACACCGGTCGGAGAAGAGCTGTAAGCAGAGGTTCGGTGTACTCTCGGTCGGAGAAGCGGGTCGGAGTCGGAAGCGAGCGTCGTTCCCTCCTTGGCCAGGCCTTCCGGTTGGACGAGCGGATCAGAGTCGGAAGCGAGCGTCGTCCTCTCCTTGGCCATGTCTTCCGATCGGAGACTGGATCGCTCTTCCGACCTGTCGTTTAGGTATCTGGATTGGGCCATGAGTTACGCGTCGTTCGCAACGTCGTCTGCTGGCTCGAGCTTTTGCCGAAAAACATGCTCATTATAGACCCAGGTTTATGAAGCTGACAGTACTACTCCTGTGAGAGCTAAGATCAGGCATTCGCTAGATGGAATGCTGAAGGGCGCGACCTTGAGCCATTCGTCTTATCATTTGTTTTTTTTTTATTGCTGCTTTTGTGATTCCACTATTCCGATCATTCATGGTTAGTTGTGCAATCCGGTAGTATTTTTCTTCACTTTTGTTGAGCCTGCTGCTTGCTACCTCGGGGTTTAGAGCATCTCTGGAAGTACTGACAACACTTCATATTTATTGAACTGTCTTTCTCCATCGGTTCCAAAATAGCCTATATCCGCTTTATTTTGTGGCCACAAATTACTTCTATCTTTCCAAAAATCAAGGTGGGAGTTCTACCTCCCCCTGTACCCCCTTTTTCTTGGCGTGTACACCGTTCTTTTCGCCCAACGTCGTTGCCCTCTTGCGCACCTCGCCTGGTGATGGTGTGCAGTGTGCTGCCCTGTAGCTGTAGGGACTAGGGAGCGAAGGAGGGAAGAAGAGGGAGGTGTCGTTTTGTCGCTGTGGCTTGTGGGTCAACGTCGCGTCCAGCCACGTTGCTCTGCAGTCAGGGGCATCCGACCCTTCGCTGAGATGAACGGTGGCCGGCTCCACCAGGCTTCCATGCGCTGGGCCTTAGCCCATCTCAGCCCAAGGCGCCGCGCTAGCTCACAGTCCTCTGCCTCCGCGGCCGTCTTCCTCATTGCCGTGCCACCTACTAGCGCTGGAGAAGGACGCCATCGCCATGGAAGAGGAGAAGAAGGGCTTTAGCCATCTCCAATGACTGCAGCTCGTCGTCGTCGCTAGTACTTCCGCCACACCTGCTCTTTGGTTCGCCGCGCCCGCGCTTCCACACGCTGCGCCCGCTCGTCGGCTCGCCGCTCTCCGGACCCGCGCCCTCGGCCCTCGCACCATGGAGCTCTCGCCTGCGACGGCCGCCCGTGCAGCTGCGTTGGCTGCCGCTGCCCCTATGCGCCACACCGGTCGCCGCCCGTGCGCGTAACCGCGGCCCCACGCCGGCCACTCGCACGTGTTGCCGCGAGCCCGCAACGGCCGCCACACTCGCCGCCTCCGGCTGGGGCCGGCTGCAACGAGAACGAGGCGGCGAAGCCGCGAAGGACCGAGCGTGGCATTTTGGGCTGAGGATTGAGATGGGCCGGCTGCTATGCTCGTGCCGCGTCGTGCGTCCTAGAGTTTGGCAAAGTCACGGTTGGATGAAAAACGGAGGTCAAGGACGTCTTTGAACATTAGACGCAATTATGCCCAGTAGATGTAGCTTGCGTAATGCTGATTAACTAACTAATGATCATTTGGGTCGTTACAAACTCCAACGAGAAACCTATCGGAATATGAAATCAAAGAAATAAACAAATATGATGCATTGACCCGATCTAAAATATTTTTCTTGATTAGGGGCTCATGGCGGGAAATTGCTGACGGCATCATGACCAAACAAATGGAAGCAGATGTGTTCGCTAACACTAGCAGCAAAACTCAATTATTAACTAATGTACACAGACAAATTGTTACAACAATGGTTAGAGTAAATTAGTCAAATGCCTGCTCCCAATGAAAGGAATGCAGCAGCTGTAATCTGACTTCCTTGTTGGAAAACAATGATGGGGTAATTCCGACTTTCCTGTAAACAGCCTTCTCCGTCCTTTTCCTTTGCCTCTGCCTGCATGGGCCAGACTCCCAGAACCACGACGACGGGACTACATTTTGCGACAATAGTAAAGCTACTATACAAGTTGGATGACTTACGTTCCACTGGAGCAAAATCTCCAAATCTCCAGGACACAGACAGGACCTCACCCCATACAATCACCTTGGTGGCTCCTGTCAGCATCTCCCTTTCTCCATGCGGAGTTGCTTATAACCAGTCATTGCAAAATAGTACACATCAGAGGGGCAGAAATCTTCATTGATGATCCGTCTGTCCTGCGCACTATTGTCTACAAAGATCTGTATGTGCATCGACCTTTCTTGCATCTGATGGCTTCCACAACATTATATTCACATCAGAGTTGCACCAGGAAGAGAGGTGGTTGCATCCGCTGTTTGTAATGTAGCAGGCACAAAAGTCATTGGTGCCTGCTGTGGTTCACTTAAAAAACCCAGAATGTTCAAAATCTGTCTGCAATTATGAGAAACACCACACAAGGCACATCAGAAATAAACACTAAGAATGCAACAAGCCAACAACTATGATACTATTGATCACTTCATTGATGGAATACTGAGATGACTAAAAAAACTGAGTAGAAGTTACATATCTGAATGAGCATGACACAGTTTGAAACCATTAGGGCACACAATATGAAGTTGGCACTCGCAGTACATGTGTAGAACTCGATGTGATCTTTGTTACCACTTTGAATTGTTTCTTGCAAAGATTTTTTTTTTTTAAAAAAGGGCAGCCCCAGTGCACGAAGCTCCCGCTTGCGCAGGGTCCGGGGAAGGGTCCGACCACTTGGGTCTTTTGTACGCAGCCTTTCCCTGCATTTCTACAAGAGGCTGTTTCCAGGACTTGAACCCGTGACCTCATGGTCACAAGGCAGCAGCTTTACCACTGCGCCAAGGCTCCCCTTCTTGCAAAGAAAATTAGGAGTCGATTTTATATTTTTGTGCTTAAACCAAATAATGATATTTGCATAAAAAATAGAAGGCCATCATAGATTCCAGAACTTAGAAAGGAGATGAATCCTTGGATGCTAGTTCAAGCACAAATACACCCAGCACATCAAAGGATCTCTTTAAAGGTCTTGATTTATTATCATAAGCAGCCCCCACCCCAAACTTGCATTTTCAGCAATTTTACACAGCAAACCAATAAAAATAAAGAAACCGACAATAGTGTGGGTGACTCAGTTTATAGCAACTTAACTGGAGGCTTAAGCCATTAAAGGTGGGTGTATGAAAATTGAGTAAGCTTGTAACACTAATACAAATGTTGCGAAGGTACCTGGGCAAGGTGTTATGCATATTCCGCTGATTAACAAAGGAAGAAAGAGGTGTCCGAAGATTGGGATATTTATTCAACATAAACTCAAGTTGCGGTGGAGGTAGCTACATGTAGCAGCATGAATGGATATCAGTAAAACTGAATAATGGATATACATGAATGTTTCAGTTGCATAACAAGGTATACCTGTAATAAGACATCAAAAGAACGTGGCTGAGTCTGGAATGACAGTTTTAAAAACCCAACCCATAGCTTTGGCATTTTCCATATCTGCAGCAAGAAAAATAAAATCCAAAGGCTCAGAGCTCAATAAGTCAAAACAGAAAACCTACTTAATGGCCTTCCTCCTCAGTTTCTTTGAGGTCTTAAGTTACAGGAATAGTTTGTTTTGTGTGTGTACCCAAAAAAAATTTCAAACTACATGCTATATCAGCATGCATCAATGATAACTAATCTGCTAAACAAGGCACAATGGCTATATTAGGTTTCTAACAAGTTTCATATATAAAAAAGTGAACTACACACGAAATGAGGTAGAACATTCCAATGGTATCGTATATATATGTTAACCTAGCTTCTTTCGCTAGGTAAAAATATAGCAACAGAAACAACTTTATGAGATTTTGGTTAGCTTTGATACACCACATGAGTTAGAACAGTTGAATGGTATCGTGTATAAATGTCAACCTAGCTTCTTTCGCTAGGTAAGAATATAGCGACACAAACTACGTAAAGAATAATACTGACACAAACAACTTTATGGGATTTTCGTTAAGCTTTGATATAGCATGGATTATTGTTTGCTCAATCAATAACAGCATAGGAAATTAAACAGGTCCTAAAACAAAGTATGACTGCATGATACACTAGAAATTTTTTGACCTGTTTATTGACGAGCCTGGAAAGTATTCCCATGACAAAATCAACCTGAATAAGTAACAGTGTGAATAAGTAACAATGGTCAGATGAGCGAAAATCTTAAAAACAATGTTCTTCAGACTGCTCTTATGTGCCAAAATATAATAATTTGGAAAACGGAAACAATGTGAACTGGCAAGAATGAGTTGTTCAGAGTTTCTGAAACAAAACTATTGTCTTTGTAAAGAATATAGAGGAAAAGGTTTATTACAATTATATGCATCTGATTAGTAAGTGTATATGTACAAATAGGTTGGTTGGTAAGTTACCGTTTAGATATAATAGTATATTTAAGTGTACACATTGATTACAAAAGGAATAGATGAACTACAATCAAACTTTTTACCAACAAATATGAACAAATAAATTTCGCTGTGTATAACTCAAAATAAAAATCAGCATACCAAAGCAGGGAAAGCATCAAGCGCTTGAATAACTGTTCTCATAAAAAGAAGAGGAATTGGTATTCTGTCAACCTGCAAGACAGTTCAAATTATTAGGCAAGATGAAAATAAAGACGCACAAAACTCCAATTGCAGCGGTAATGTAAGTACCAATTGATTGAGTGACTTCTCCAAAACCTGCTGAGTAAATACCGTACGTTGCTCAAAGCAAGCCGTGCAAGCATCCGTGACCTGAAATGAGTCTCCATCAGAAGCTGAAGAAATTCATGCAATAAATAAAAACACATGGCACACATTAAAACAAATCCATGAGGATGCATTTGGGTACAAAATCTGGAGTTCAAAAAATGTTCCAAAAATATACATGTTTCTCTTGAGAACTCAATTATTTTGGGAGGCTAGTGCAATACAAGGTACTCAGGGGCCATGTTAATTGTGTATAGCATGTCAGAATATTACGAAGAAGATATTAAAAACAACTATAGTAAATGGCATTACCTTCTTTAGGGCAACTTTATCTTTTTCAGGGTTAATATCATGAATTGCAATCAGAACTTCAGCAGGAGTCAATGCTGGACCAGTATGAGCAGTTCCCTGTCCAATATAAAAATACAAAAATTAGGAAAAAAAAAACTTATCACTTGCTTAAAAAAAATAGATTGTGTGTGCATCCTTTTACAACAAAACACGGGCATCATTGTGTCAACCATAAAAATAAATAGTCATGCTGAAAACATAAATAAGGTGCATCAGATCAGCACTGAAACAGAGTCTGCTCATACTTCAACGCTTCACCCCCCATAAAATCTAAAGCTCAGACAAGCCTTTGTTTTGAGATAAAAAAAAAAAGGGTTCATAATGCCTATCAACGGAGTGCAATAAGCACAGTAAAATCACCTGCAATATCCGAGCAAGTGCGTCTTGGAATCTCTCAAGCGGGAGATCAACTAGCCTAGAAAATATAGGCAATACCTGAGAGCCAGGATAATAAGAGAAAATGTTAAGTGCAATAAAAGGACTTGTCAATTATATCATTATGCAAAAAAGATTGAAATCTATAGTAATGAGAAACGAAGAAAAAATGCATGATATACATAATATACATAAAATAATTGCATTTGTTAAGGATCACAGTTTGAAGTATTCGACAAAGAAATTGCAACAAGATTAAGATCAGTAATGATTTCTCAAAATGGCCTGGAACATACTTTTATTTATCATGTGCAGGTTAATTTGCCACTCAATACTTGCCGTCTAACTTCTAAATAAATTTACATTTATCACAATTTAGATAACCCAAAGTCACTATCAAACAGGGAAGTGATCAATGCTGGACAAATACTATTTGACGCATGTACCTCCTCCTTTGGAAATGAAGGCAGTAAGGGAATGAGAATAGATGCATCCTGCCAGATAAAGTCAAAAGATTCAACAAACACATTAAATAACAAACAGCAAACATGTTACAAGGGCGAGCAGGTAAATACGAAGCAGTACACAGCACAAGCAGAATTTATGCATACCTTCAGCTTGGTATTATATAATTGTTTAACAGCAGCAACTAGGTCAGCTGAAGGATTTGAATCTTCGGTCAATGTTTGCAGTGTCTTTAAAATGAGAAAACAAGAAATAAGTTTATGGAAACTATTTGTACTTCATCCATCCCAAATTAAATCAGCTTCTAGAGGTGCTCTAAGTCACTATTTTAAATTTGACCAAATGAAAATAGCACCAATATTTATGACATCAAATTAATATCACTAGATACATCATGAAATAGTTAAGACTTAGGGTGATTCTAGGAATTGATTTATTTTGGGACGGAGGAAGTATTGAATAATTAATAAAGAGAAGTCAGAAACCAAATGGTACCAAGGTAATAAGATGTTCACTGCCTTCAGGTGGATTATGAATTATGTTCAGCATCTCAGGACACGAGGGCCCCAGATTTCTTATAAGATTGGGCATATGCCAATGGATACACTGCATAAATTTGCACCATGATGAGCAGTCAGTAACTTATTAACTAGTCAATATTTAGAACCTACATTGCAAAAGTAAAGGCAGCACCTGCTTGACAACTTTTGGAGACCTTCCATAAACATTGAACAGATGTTGAAGAAGACTAGGTCTCTGGAAGAAAAAAATGCTTTTACCACCATCCAAAAGGAAGACAGGAAAGAGCAAAGGTACTATTTTCATATTGATACCTTGGTGCAAAGTGCAAAGAACAAAGAAGTACGGCGTTTTGCCTCAGATACAGATACTGCTGACTGTTTTGGTGATACCAATGATGTCTTGAATGGCTCATTTTCAGAAAACTCAATATCTGGGATCTGGGAGCCACTAACTGAAGTTCCCTGACTGCATACCTCAATCTGCTTTCATGAAAGACCATTCATCAGTGAAGAAAACAAAATAGCAACTATTGTGAATAATCTAAACTCTTATGACACCATAAAGAATATTAGAACATTCTCCCTACACCATCAAGTAAAAGTTATAACACTACTACAGAAATTAGAGGAGAGCTGCAAATAATTAAGTTCTAAGAAACCCAACCCCTATTCTACACTGCTAGATGGCAAAACAAGTCAGGTACTACCATCTAATGCAATAGATGCTCAGTAAACAATCAAGAGACTAGAGGTTCCATAACCAAGTGACAAGCTCAATATCCCATCAATTAGTACAAGACTACAAGTTTCTTCCTAACCAAAAGTCCAAAACAACTAATGTAAGCTGAACTTTCAACGATCCTATACATCAGTTTTATATAATATAATCCTTGGTTTTAACCAAAAACCATGCTACAGAAAACGTGTATGATAGTTTCTCAAATTAAAATTCAAATACAAATGCATAAGAAAAGCGCTTCAGGTAGATTCACATCCATATTTCACTTTAAAGTGAAATACAACATCAAAGGGACATAAACTACAATTTCAAGAAGAAATTCCAATACATTTGCTGAATTCTAATAAGGTATTTGAATAGTTAGGAATCTCTTTTCATCCCCTAGCAGAAAAAAAAAGGCGTACCCAGTGCAGAGAGCTCCCGCTCTGTGCGGGGTCTGGATCCCCTAGCAGAAACTGACAAAGAAATGAGATCTACCGCGAAGAGTATCAAAATAATTTAGAGTTACCTCAGCTGTAGATTCTTTCAAGGATTTCAAATTAATATCTGCGTCCACAGTATGCTCATTAGCAACTCCCACAAGACTCTCTATGGCAAACTGCTCTATTTTTTCTGTTGCATATGTTAGATCATAGAGCCTTTTTGAAACCTACAAATAGAATGCATGTATCAGCATTATAGTATCATATCAGGTCAAAACAATGAAAAGATAAGGAAGGCAATGCTGCTCCCATACCAATCTAACTGCCCTTCCCCTGACTTCATCTTGAGAGTGGACAGCACACTGCAAATTCACAACAGAAGGTAAGTGCAGCACAGACCAATGTACCAGCCAAATTAAAAGAATTTGTACCATCAATCTGAACTATGGTTGATATTCTCATAAACTGGAAATTATAGTACAACAAAATGTGAGCCATGCATCCCACATGCCTGCACTTGAGGTTAATGGACATATTTACACAACACAGAAATGAAGATAACATAAGTAAACTCAAACATTGACAAGCAACTTAGAAAAATCTCTGATTATATTACTACCAGTGGAAAAGGAAACAAGCTAACCTTGAGAGCAATATCCAAGCAAACATGGCGAAGCGGAGGCCGACCCAAGATAAGGCTCCGTAAAGTTCCCAGGCCTTGGGTAACACGGTCCCCATCCCCATCCTTTAATTGTTGGCTGTTGTCTTCTGACATGCAAAGATCCTCCAGTAATCTAAACGAAGACTCAGGTAGATATGGTGCATCGCATAAAAGTTTGCTAAAAGACTTGTCTGAAGCAGGCAGTGAATCAATCAAGGACCTCGCCTAGAGATGAGAACAAAGGAGATGAAATGTTTTGACTCTCAGAAAGAACATTAATAAGAAATAATACTATTATGAGCATGCTTACAAGTGATATAAAGAACTTCTCGTAATGTTTAGAAGTGGAGGTAGAGCTTTCTGGTGAATTAGCAACACTGATACTCTGCAGCTGATACAACACATGCATTGCCAGTTCATACCCCTACAAAAACACATGTACCTCAGAAATATCTTAGGAGGGGTAAAGTTACCAGTCAACTAATATGCTTATATGATCATGATGGGATCCATGCAGATCCAGGCATTGACAATTGCAATTCACGTGACGTGACAAACAGAGCAAGTTTGAACAGCACAAACATAGCTGATACTTTGTATCTCCATTTCTCCGAGAGTGCCACTACCCAACATATTTAGTGGCACCCTAAATCACCCTCTACCTCAAATTTGAGTCACTCCCCCGTCCACCCTACCTTAAAAAATAGGAGGTTGAGATTTAGGGGAACTGCTATGGGAGAAAACAATTTAGGACGGGCTTATGTTTAGAATGGACACTATATGAGAAAATAGGAGATATAATTTAAGTGAAGTCTTGGATATGCTGTACAGCATGTTTGTTTGAGTTGTAGTTTTTAGAAAAGCTGTCTTTTGTGGCTGCTGGTTAAAGCCAGGTTTTTCAAAAGTGGAGAAGCTGTCTCTTGGATAAGTTTTTGAGTGAATGAAATGTATATAATGTAATGCTCCTCAGAAAAGCATCCAACAGAAGACTGCAAAAGCTCCTCCAAAGTCCAAGCCAGCATTTGGCTTTTAGTACATACATAGCCTCTGTCTTTTAGACCTTTGGTTGAAGCTGTCTGTTTGTTTCAGCTTCTGGATTTTGGCCTACAGAAGCCAGCCAGGAGCTGAAACAAACTGTGCCTTAGGAGCATTAACTCAACTTAATGAACGAGAACGAGAAACTAGCTCAAGGTCAGCAGAAAAGGGTGCATGGATAAAAAACAAACAAGATCACTTCGACAGGTGAACCCTAGTCATGACAATTGCACATATGTATATGAAAAATAATTACCAACCTGTCTATGATGTATTCAAGCCATGTTCACTCCAATAAAAAATAATAACCTGGTACCAATTTTAATGTCTGAACTTACATCTCATGAAATAATATAATTTGTATGTGTATTAAATCCTAATAAACAATAACAAACAGACCCTCAACTCAGCCAAATGCAAATTCCTAGTAATTTTATTGAAAAGTTGGATGTATCTGCTGTAGTTACAGCAATGCTGGTAACACCAAATAGTGGATATAATTCATTATTAGTGAAGTACCTTCTGATCATGAGAGTGAAAGATAATGTGCCTCTGAATCAAATCCATAATGTTATCATCATCAGCACTCTGCGAAGACAAATTATGGGAAAAGGCAGTGTTAGACAAAACTACTCAAGCAACATATAAAATATTTATAGCAATTTGCAAGTAAATAAAAGAGATTTCAAAAAATGGAGTTACTAAGCATTTGACTATACAGTATGTATACTAGACTAAAGATTACAATACCAAAATGATACCTGCGCAATCAAATGGGCAAGCAAAGAAAATCTGGCATTGAGACTATTTTTCTTGTAATCATCGAGTATCCGCCCAATGGCTAGTTTGTTAATTGAGATTTTCCCTTTTTCACTTAATTCCAACTGAGATGTAATAACTGGCAAGTCATGATTGGTGTCCTCTGGTGTTGATGCCTCCGGAGCTGGTAAAAAGGGGTCAACCTCTAAATCCACACTATCAGATTCGTCAAGTGAAATAACTTCTGAAGACATGGGTTTCACCATATCTTCATCAACATCAGAAGAATGAATCCTGACATCCACTGGTGCCTCGACCTCAGATGTTGGCTCCGGTTCAGTGGCAACATCCAGAAGCTCCAACTTATCTTTAGCAATTGTTTGATTAGGTTGAGAAGCTGAGTGCTGTTCATCTTCGTTTTTTTGTACATCTCCTGAATAGTCTGAATAGTTTTCAGCCTTCCCAGAATTGGAGTAGAGTGGGTTCGACAGATTATCTGTTTGATGCACACTATTGGTTTCCATCTTCACCTGTATCGAATTTACAGCAGAAGGTGAAACTATCCGCCGTGGATCGAGGCGACGAGGGTCCTGCAAGACATCAGCATCCTCAGAATAGGCATTTTCTGTTGACTTCATAAAACACGACCTGAAAGTCACCAAAAGATAGATCATACCCTTCTTGGATCACGCTTAGCATCATGAATGCTAGTCATAACAAAGGCATCAGATGGTGATATGCTGACTCCATCTGCTGTGGGTGTCGATTGTGCAGCGAACAGTGCAGAGTCTGAATTGGCTGGTAGGTTTTGTGTTAGGAGACCAGAGGAATATTTAAAATTCAGTTGCTGGACACCATTATTTGTTGCCAAATGAAATGAAGGTTCCGGTAGATGTTTCATTGTTTCTATCACAATGTCAGCCATGACATCTGCCTCTACTGTTGAGACAAGAATACCCAAGGATTCAGATCCTCTTTCTCCTTCAGCAAGTAAAGCACCAATCATTTCAATCATCTTCTCGACAGGAGACACGTCATTATTCAATATGGCTGGATCAGACGAATGACCCACACTGGAACCATCGTCAGCCTGCATATCACAATAATCAGAGGATCCCAGAACTGGCAGATTTGAAGTGGCAGACATGTCAAATCTTGCTCTCTTAGCTATGCCATCAGACGTAGTAAGAATATCACTTGATCGGGCAGCAGGTTTCTTCCGATTAACATCTCCATAAGGCATCTCCCATGATGTAGACTCATCCTGTAGCATAAGAAAAAAAAACTACAATTCTTCAAAAGAGAAAAAACAATATATACTTATCGAGGAAGCATATTTTTCAAAGGTATACATGTGCAATCCAGTGAGAAAAACTGTATAAGCATGCAGATATATACCTTGATAGCACGAGAAGCACGCTCTATATTTCTAGACATCTTCTCTGCCTGCCTAATATTTTGTTCCATTGCCTCACCAGGGCTGAGAACACGCAGCCGCCTTACTAACATGTCTTTAGACTGTCAAGAGAAGAAAGTCTGGTTAGCTTGACAAGTAATATACATCAAAAAACAAATATGGATATGTAAATCCTACACACATTTAGGAAAAGCAATGCAGAACTGATGTAGAATTTCTCAAAAAGAAAACAAGATGTCTCCAAAAAATAGCCCATAAACATATTAGTCACTTTATTAAGTCACAACAACAAACAGAAGCAAGCAACCTGATCGAGAAGAAAAGGAAGGGAGGGCAGTAGGGAGTGACTCCCTGAAAGGAAACTGGACAGCTCAGACCAGATACCGTTGCCACACACTCTTGGTTTGAGCTTGGTGGAATGAGTCTACAAAAACCCAATGCCATACATTCAAATCCTATAGTGCATGATTCCATCTTTCTTATCATAACTCTGACTTTGTTAGTATCACCTATTTTTGCCCACACGAATCCAGATTAAGATTGAGTATCATCCTTGGTTGTAAAGATCTGCTTATAAAATCATCTTTTAAAGTTTTGACAAAGTTCACATAGATTTATAGTCCAAATATACTGGGCTGAATCGTGTACTCAATTCACATATGAGCTTCATGCATCAAGGCATATTTATTATCAACCATCATATTTGTACTACCATTAGTTAATTGACCATAATCTGGTGTAAGAGCATATTAACAAGCTAGTCAAGTTATATTTCCTCACAAACAAAAATCAACTATAGCAACAGTTTTAAGAATCTGAGCTGTATTGAGGCATGAGATATGTAAATTAAATCAGATAATTTATTAATGACAACTGAACCATAATCTACAAGTGTAACCAGTAGATGAGCTAACCTCAATCATTGCCTGGTGAGGACTCCGTAGAAACCCCAAAAAAGCTGCTCTTACGGCATACCGCAGGCTTGCTGAATGTGCCCCCTTTGCAGCCTCCAAGCCAGGGTCAAAATCAAGCAACACTGGCAACACGCGGTCATAGTAAATTGGTCGAATCTTTACAACTGCTGCAAGACTGAAAAATGCCATATATTATATTTCAGAATAACAAATAAATACATATTATATTTCAGAATAACAAATAAATACATCTCAGACAGCTATGCAGTCTTGTAAGATAAACAGCACAAATGGATGCAGAGTCTCAAGCTTCAAAGATACACTTCATCTGCATGCATAGCTGGGCTCACAGCAAGCAAGCAAGGAGCCGAACACACAAGCACACACAAAGGTCAAAATAATATGTCAGTAGATCACAAAGAACCTAGGTTGTGTAACAAAAAGAGTAGGATACCAGTCAATCAGCTAAAGTAATTCAATTGCTCCATAATGCTTACCTATTCAATATTCAAGATAAACATGTGGATAGCTAGTAACTGATGTCATGCATTAAATAAATTCAGGTTCATCTTCATACACAGAGGAAACTAGTTCAAAGAGACGATGAAATGGCAGAATAGTAGGAGTGTAACGAATCACTTCTGCTCAACATATGTGATAAAGCTGGTAGATATTCTTACGAATTAATGGTGCCAACTAGGAAGGACCCTCGATGGGCATAAGCTGTTCGAAGAATATCCAAGAGAAGGAGGAGAGCTCTATGTGCATCAACTTCCAAAACAGCAGGATCAAGGCTAGGATGAAATTGAGATAATCGTGAAGTATCAAATCTCCAGTTTTTTCCTGTATGGAAGGTGTACTTGTCAATGTGAAAGCCATTTTCCCTCAAAAAATATATGTACTAGTACTTGTTACCGTTAATATGAAAAATGGTACCTTCAGTTGGCTGTGTTTGGTCACTGTTGGCTTGAGGTGTGCAACACAAAATCCATGTTTCAACGAACTTTAGAGCAAGTAGTTTAGTTGCAATAGGGCCTGGCTGTTACATGTCACAAGCAATAGTGTCAGCAAGTAACAGTTAACAAAGAATATTGACCTAGAAATCACAGCACCAACCATTGCATCTGGTCACATATGTCATTTTAAAAAAAATTGGTTATAATCTCAGGTAGCACTGCAGTAAAGTACAATAGTATGATCGAGGGACTTGAGATATTGCACAAAACGAAGGGGAATATAACAATAAAGACCTCACGCTTGAAAAGTTTTTAATTCCATGATGTGTAAACTTCTCACAGCAGAACAACAGCAATTGCACATATTGTATGTATACAGCATAAACTACAATTAAACAAACCTCATTCATCACACCACAGACTGCATCTTTGAACTGCTTCATCCAAGCCCATATGTCTTCAAGCCAAGTTTCAAGTTTTCCGCACTTGTTAACCTAGAGATTTACAATTACAGTAGAAGAGTGAGTACCAGGAATGATTATAGTGAGTTACAAATATTTTAAAGTTAACTTATAGGTAACATCAAATCAAAGCAGGACAAATATGCCAGGAAAAGCAATTGTTCAGATTTATACAATCCAGATCCCAGACAGTGCATCATATTTTCCAAAGAGAAGGGGACAATGCCATGAGTTTCATCTGAACCAAAGCCCAGCTTAAAACGTTGTCACATTAAATCTTAACTTGTACAGTTCATCACAAATCATCCTTGTAAATTAGCCAAGACAAATAGCAAACAGTCTAAACTAATGGTACTGTGTGCCTCAATTTGTTGATAAAATTTCAATGGTTCTTGATAGTTGGAATTCTAGACATTGCAAGGTAAGAAATCAGTTCAGTTTCAATTGATAGCACGTAGTTTAGACTCAACAGCACAAAATGTAAATTTAGAGCTTGATGTGTAATTCATAGTCCAATGGGGAACATTTATCTACACAAGCTCAGAATCACATTTCACAAAAAGAATATGTTGCTCATATACCACTACCAAATTCTGACAATCCTATTATTGCATGGATATGATCATGTATACCACTGGGAAGCGCCACTTTATAGCAAACTTGACAATAGGTTGAACATATAAGAATTTATGATACTCCTTCAAATATTTAACTGGATGAAGATGGATGTATTTCTTTTTCATGGCAATATGAACAGTACAAGGAAACTACAGTACATTTATTATCACTTTAATGCCAGTATAATTGTTTGAGATGGTTGAGTTAAGGCAAGAAGGTCACTGTTTTAATTGATTGACTTTTCTCAGATACTGAAAAAAAAACATCAAATTTTCATGCAAGTCTCTGTCCCTACTATTCCAGCATTTTCTTGGATTAGGTCTGCTCTTGCCCACAGTGTTTTTCATGAGACAATGCAGCAAATATAAAAACAACTGGGCATAACAATGAGTGACAGAATGAATGAATGGTGGAAGCAGAGTTCACAAGGATTTGGATGTTTTGGTCATTGGGCATAAAGTAATTTCAAATAACTGAAATGATTGATCTTTTAATGGTAGCACAGTAAGTTCTTTGATGATCACAAAAGATGCATGCACTCGACGTGCCGAAAGTCGAGAACAGACAAAAGTGCTTTCATCAGCAGCACTTTATGATAGTCAATGTCTGTTACTTTGCTGCATGAACTGACAAAGTAGAAACAGGTAAAATCAACAAAGTGCTGGATTTTACGCTGTCTTCAATAATAAGTCAACTAGAACATGCATTGCAGCAAAATGCTTGTCATTTGGAGGTTAAAAACTCTTTGTATGAAAACTAGGTTTTATGTTAGCAAATAGGCATTTCTTGTAGCGTAGTTTTTCAATCGGATGGACTTTGTGAGACGCTCCCGACAGAATTAAGATAAGCAAGCAACTTCGTCAAATGACCATAGCAACATCACAACGGTAGGTAGTTACAACAACAGTGGATTTATTCACTAATGAATATCTTCTGTTTTACAAAGAACAACCTGTAGTGTCATCTCTTCCAATACAGCAGCAAATAAATTTGTCCCCCTAGCTATAGATTGCTTAACAACCGCAGGATCATCATGCTTCAAAAATGACAGCAAATTTGGCATCAGCACAACCAAATCTTCTCTAACATTTCTGCCAAGCTCTCTCAGCAATCTGTCAGAAAGAAGCAGATACATGAGAACCACCACAATAATTTCCCCGAGCAGAAAGCAAGGAATACACAAATAAACACAATTTCTTTTTGTTAATTCACACTAGGCTAAACATCATGTCCATTTTTTCATTCCAATGAATTTCAGCAAGTTATCCACTACAGATCAGTGCCACTTTAAAGAATACAAACTCGAATCAGAAGCCATCAAAACCAACATACAGATTTAAAGATGTCCTTGATAAATGTTATCAAATCGTCTAATCGATCCTAGTCACCATGGCACCGATCAGCTCGACTAATCATGACTAATAGTAGTGCATAGCTGATCACCATGGCACCGATCAGCCCGACCAATCGCGATCATCGGACGACTTGATAACATTGATTGAAATAGACTTTGCTTTGACCAAATAACAATATATATAATATCATGAATCATGAAAACTTCAAATGTCTGAATATCCCACAAGCATGATCTTTTCCTCTCCATCATTCCAAAGCTCCATGCTTCAACAAATTAATGAAAACCGTATCAAAACAAAACTTTGACACCATTGTGTTGCCCTCCTACCAGATGGTATCGGCAAAGTCAAGCTAAATTAACTGAGCATTCCTCTGGCATATTGTTAGTTCATGCAAAAATCAACTAATTTCTCCATGACCTTGCTGATATTAAGTTCCAACTTAGACAACCAAGTACCAAGAGACCCCTCAGAAGGCCAGCTGTAATATACTACTAACAAAAACCACAATTTCGCGAAGCCCAAGCTCATAGAAATCTCACAAGTAGGCACACGCATGCAGAGCGGAGCACGTCAGATCTACGAAGGTTACTAATATAACAATTTCAGCAACTTCAATCACGCCTACTCAACTAAAAAACTGTCACAAGTCCCAAAATTCATGAAGACAACGGACCTAACCATATAAAACAATTTTGCCAGAACGCCTACGAAATGGCATCACACCATACAGATACGAAAGTACATGAAGGAAGCCCTGGAGCTCACCTTAGGGCACGAGACGAATCGAAGCGGGGCGAAGCAATCTCCCCGCAGTCTCCCGGCGGTGGCGGCGGCGGCGCTTCGGCGGCATCGCCTCGCGGCTGCGGCCACCGGGCGCCGTCCGCTCCGAATTCCATGGGCTTGGGGCCTAAACCCTAGCTCAGGGGTGCAGGGCCTCGCGGGCACGCGGAGGGATATCTAGGACACGAGACCACGACAGTGAGGAGGGCAGCAGCGACTGGGTTGGGATAGGGTTTGTGTTCGGCGGTGGCCGCAGGCCGCGAGGCAGGCGACGCGGCGGCGGGAGGAGCAGGGCAGTGCGCGGCCAGGCGGCCGCTCAGGCGACGTGGGGGCGAGGAGGGCCAGGCCAACGAGAGGACTGGCCACTGGTGTGCACGATGTTATAGCGCTAAGGAGACCGACACGTGGGACCATTTGTGGTTCTAGAGGGCCCTACGCGTAAGTGTCTCTGCGCCGTCGGGTTTTTTGGAACCGTGGGCCGACGCGCCAAAGGTGCGCCGCGCCCCGTGTTTTTCCTATGTCCCGCGTCTGCTAGTGGGCCCTTAGAAGGAGCGACTAATTGGGCTGCACGTGTAAATAAGGCCCATTGTTAGCCTTTGCCACGTTTTCTTTCGGCGTTTATTCTTTTGAAGTACTCCCTCCATTCCTAAGACGTCATTATTGCTTTTCAACGTATAGTTGTTGCTATATACTTATATAGACATTAGGTCTGCTACTAAAAACAATGCATCTAGAAAAATCAAAATATTTTATAATTTGAAACGAGGTGAGTAGTCCTTTTTTCTATATACCGAATACACCTAGCCAAAATTTCTTTCCTATTTTATGTCGGGTCCTCTCCTAACTAACTCCATAAATGTGAAAACTATATCTATTTTACGTTTTTATATGATATATATGTATATATAAGGTTTCTTGAATGTGGAAACTATCTCTATTTTCTGTTTTTATATGATATATATGTATATATAAGGTTTCTTGAGGTAACCTCGAGTGTTAGAAATTATGGTGTGTTTGGTTTACTGGCTAACTTATAGCCTGGCTAGAATCTTAGCCTGGGCAGCCTTAGCCTGCTCCTACCGAGCCAATTCATATTTGTTTGGTTGTCTAAGCCTGACTAGCCCCAGGGCAAGTTTGGGTGCCTGGTTTGTTTTGATACAATCACCTTTTCTCCGAATTGGTAAGGTTAGCCTTTGAGGCATTTCGTCGAACAAGTGGCGGGCTTCCTCAGCGAGCACAGCACACCGTAGCAGCAGCAGAGCCTTCACCATTTCCACGTCCATCTCCACCAGGCGGAGCACGCTGTAGAACTTTGTGATGACGCACTCCTCCACGCTGCCCTCAGCCACCAGGACCTCCACCTCATCGGTCACTAGCACCTCCGCCTCCTCGGTCACCAGGACCTCTGCCGCGTCCGGATCTGAGTGAGGAGAGCGTGAATCAAGGCAGTGGTGCTTGTGCCCCTCCGCTCTCACAAATCAGGGACAGGAAGGAGGGCGAGCACGGTGGCGCAGTGCGGTGCGGTGCTACTCAAGGAAGACGACGATGACCGGCGCTAAGGTGTGGAGTAGGGTGTAAGACGACGATGACCGGTGCTGGGGCAGTGCGGTGCGTTTGATGCGAACTCGACAGAGACTAACAGGACCTGGCTAGGAAAAAGCGACACGCACGCACAGCACAATAGCTTTTTAGTTGCAAAAAAATCTCGGAAGCTTCTTCCTCCTCGACTCCGGTGCCCTCACCCCTGCCACCGCCCACCACCCCACCGCAACGAGCTAGGGTTTCGCCAGAGCTCCACGGTCGCGGCCTCCTTCCCCTCTCCCCGCCCCCACCGCTATCGCCACCTTGGCCATGGCGCCCCTGCCCTGACCTGGCCCGGTCGCCTCCACCGATGCCAGGGCCTCTAAGCTGCTCGTCGGCCTTCCTCCCCCAAACCTTTCCTTCTAAGCCCGTCGGAGTTGGGGAAGATAAGGGGAGAACTCGTCTGAACCCTAAGCAGCAGATCCAAGAGGAGGATGAGGATGATGATGAGGAGGAGGAGGCCTACCTCGTCGCCGTTGCTGTTGTCGTTAGATTCACCATGGCCGCCGCCGTCGCCAGATCCACCATGGCCGCCGCCGGATCCGGGCGGGCGCGGGAGGAAGTCGTCGGAGGAGGTGGGGGCGGACGCGGGGAGGAGCTGGGGTGCGGGCACGGGCTCACCGGAAGAGGTCGCCGCCGAGGAGAGAGCGCGTCGGAGAGAGAGAGCGTGACGGGAGTTGCTCGCCGAGCGCCACGGGCGAGAGAGAGGCAGAGAGAGCGAGCAAGCAAGTGGGGTGTCGGGTGTCCCGGCGGGGTGTGTGGGTGGGTTGATTAAAAACCGGTCGAGCGTAATGAAGTCTTTACCAAATTCTAATCAGGCAGATTGCACTGATCCTAAATAATCCAAAAAGTTTCACATTCCTTCTTTGTTTTATGGTCCACGGTGGTTTCTCATTTCCCTCTTTGTTCTCCAATCCATGGTGGTTTCTCATCCTTTTTTGTTTTCTAATTTTTCCAGCGGCACAATTTAATTTCTGATTTGTTTTTCTCCACCGGCAAGTTTTCTTTTCCTGGTTTCGCAATCTATTTCGTGTTTATTTTTTCAACGTCTTCCGTGATTTAGGAATTGGTTTTTGTTTTCTGATTTTTTTTTCTATCGGCAAGTTTCTTTTCCTGTTCTATTTTTTTATTTTATTTGTTTTTATCTTTCTTTTCAGCAACGTTATGAAGTCTTATTCCAACAGCATTATAGATTCTAATTCCAGGGCGCATCAAATGGCAGTAAGGAGTCCGATTTCAAAATGTATTGAAACATATGAGTATCACCGAATAAATCTTTGAACCATAAATCGTTCAGGTCACGACATAATAACATCTTCCGTTGCAATGGCACGTTTACTAGTCCATTAAAAAAGAAACAGCCCTTTTTTTACCTATAGAACTACTACCACAGGAGTCGTAGAGCATCTCCAAATATTAAGGGCACCCACACTAGCCCTAAGTCAACTTCTCTAATAATGCTAACTTTTAGCACATAACTTTTAACATAGATTGCCCCATGTGATATTCTCATATAACATTGAAATATGTGCAAGAGTTTAACTCTTGATCAAGAGCTAGCTTTTCTATCTCTTCTATTAAAATATAAGAAAAATACTTAGAGCTAGCTTAAGAGCTGCCCTAAGTTAACAAGATAAATAGATATCTCTGGTTTTTAATAGTTTCTGATACTTATATAGCTTTTTAAAACTCAAAAAATTGCTGGGAGAGAGAAGAGGAAACTGCGGTGGGAGGGGCGCCCAAGCGCAGAACACACATATGTATGAGTTCTTTTTTTCAATTACATAAATACAGATACATGCACTCATACATACATACATACATACATAATACTCATCCATACGAAGATACGTACACACGTGGTGATGACCCCATCGGGCCATGGCCGCGTGGTTCAAGCTTCAACCTCTTTGCCAGCAGCAGCGCGAGTGCGTGCGGCACTCTACCTGACGATAGCACACACAACCTAGTTGTCGGAGGCGAGCAACAAGGTAGCACATGGGCATAGAAGCAGGTGAGACTTCATGCGTCAAGGAGAATCACGTATCTGGGGGAAGGACAGAGGTATCGAGGGAGTTGCATCTAGGGATGACAATCCTACCCGTGGAAATTGTATCCGACGGGTATGAACATGGGTACAAAATACAAAGGAAATTGTATAGGTACAAGCAGATTCTAGCCGCGTGTACGAGTGCAGGTATATCACTTTTTCACCCGTTAGTGCCAAAAATACATCTATTCTAGTGATAATCTAATCACGGGTACTCGATGGGTGTGGGTATGATAACAAAATCTTACCCATGGGTATGGTCGTGGGTATAAAAATTGACCTGATAGTCAATTTGTCACGGACGGGTATTTACTCCACCTACATCTTATCCGACCTACTATATCTCTAATTGCATCTTTCACTTATTTAAGGGGAGATGGGGGTAGTTTTTAGTGGCCAAAGGGCTACTAGGAGACTGATGAGTCTCCCTCAAAATGATAGTTTTATAGGGATGTGGAGGGCTATTGGATACTTCCGGAGATGCTTGGGAATATAGACTTTGATTATACTCCATAGTCAAATTGCTGACTTTTAGTGTTGAATTGCAATACCAATGCGCCAAACATTTCTGGTGTAATTGAACAAGTGTTGTCCTACTAGTAAGATATTCAAATTATGTAATGTTTATAGGGCTGTCTAATGAGCCAGCCTAGCTCGACTCGTTATATTAACGAGCTAAAAGGCTAGCTCGGCTCGGCTCGTCTAGCTCGTGAGCCAAACACAAAAAAACATGGAAAACAAGACCAATATATTTATCTAAAGCAAACAAATTAATTAATATGTTCTGGCATATATATACAAGTATAAAAAATATATCATAGTGCCACACTATACATCCATGATCATACTCATATATAATGCATCCATAATCTGTTATTAATGATCCATACATCCATTTTAAATAAAATAATAGAGTCATAGTAATCCTATGTTTATAGAGTCAAGGTTCAGTAACCAACCAATTATAAAGTGAAAGACAAGTCGTATAAAACTAATAGGAGGCCCAACAACTTTGGCTCATTAGGCTCGCGAGCCAGCTAGCGAGTGGGCTCGTTAACTACACGAGCTAAAATGTCTGGCTTAGCTCGTTGAAAATATAAACGAGCCAAGCCGAGCTACTAACAAGCCGAGTTGAACGAGCTACCGAGCTACGAACTTTTCGTCCAGCCCTAAATGTTCATGAATATTTGCAGCCATATAAATGTTAGTTATCTATCATGCCATGGCATTATTTTCTAAATTACAGATCACCTTCAACTAGCATAAATACTACTGCTATCCAAGTATAGTATTGTAAGTTCCAGATAAGTCTTCATTTATTGCATTTATTCTTTGAAATAAACCAGGTCATGCATGGGTTCCTGATCTATGAAATACATACAACATAAATGTCAAAATCTGACAAGAAAGGTACTCACTCTGTTCTAATTTTAAGTTATTTTAGCTTTTATAGATACATAATTTTTACTATATATATCTAGAAATAGCGTATAAAAACTATATACCTTAAAAAGATAAAATGTCTTGTAATCTACAATGGAGAGAGAGAGAGAGAGAGAGAGAGAGAGAGAGTACTAAGCATGGGCTTGCTTGAACCAGTGAAAGAACATGTAATGAAGTAAAACCCATCTCTATGTACATCAAATAATTGCTAATCCTACATTCTGGAAACAGAAACCAGAAGGGAAGAAAAGTGAAAGAATCTCGGACGAGAACAAAAGAAGTGCCGATCATTGATCACTCATGGAGTCACGGTGGCAGACAAGCATGGCGACGCATCGCCGTATGATGTACAGCCTCGCCTTCTGCTCCTTCAACATCCTGCTAAGGCGGCAACCATTCTTCCCTTGGCTCATCGCCCTTTTCATCCTGGTTTTAAAATCAGGGGTGTTTTCTCTCAAGGAACGAGAAGGCTGTGCTTACTGCTGAGTGAGCCTATTCTTTTGCTATTGGCGAAAGAGTTCCTGCTTGATTGGCATGGACAGTTCCCTAGCATCAGGTGTGCTTATATAGGGCGAGAACCGAGGTGCCCAAAATCTCTTCCTTATCTTTCTTTTATAACGAGAAGCCGTCCTTTTGCTTAACTGTACCCCAGCTTGTAATAATGTATATATTCCACTAGACATTTTTATGGACCATGATGCCTCCTGAATCGTTCGTTCTGGTTCCCTGAATCCCAGGAGATACACATTATCTGCTTCTAGGATTTGTTCAGCTCTGGGCATACATCAACTTGCTTTTGTCTAGCCCTGGGCATACATCATATCTTAGTTTCTGTCAGAGCTTGAGAGATCATGATGAGTTGATATCATGATAATACCCTAAATTGGGTTTGCCAAAGGCCAGTTTATAGTCGTCTCTGATTGATATCACCACGCGATGATCACAATATGGATTTCTTTGAAGAAGCTCCTTGCATTTCACATTCCTTTTGAAAACGGGATGGCTAACAATTTCACAATTTGTGGCCACAGAGGACCAATGTGAGATGTGACCTAATCCTATAGATTTAGGAAAAGGCTAGCGTCCGGACGTTCGAATAGGGCTACTAGCGTCCGGATGCCCGCGCTGCATGCCTGCTTCACGTGGGGTCCCCGCGACGCTCCGTGTCCCACGCTCGCTTTCGTCTCGATCTGCGCCGGCACGGTTTCCCCACGCCTGCCGCTCGCGCCCCCTCTACACCCACGCATGCAGGTGGGCCCAGCAGTTGCAGCAGGCGTCTGCTGTAGATGGGGTCTACTCCAACATGTGTAACACTAGATCTACTTTTGCAACATCTAAAGAAAACATTTGCAGCATACATCCAGAACAGTTAAAACACTTGCAACATACGACTGAAACGTGTGTAGCCATTACAAAACATATGCAACATCTAGATGAAACACTTGCAACATATGTGTGAAAACATATGCAACATCCGGATGAAACACTTGAAACATAAGTGTAAAACATATGCAATACCCAGATAAAACATGTGCAACTTCCGTCTGAAACAGCTGAAACATTTAGAACATACGCTTGCAACATACGTGTATAGCCATTACAGCATATGCAACATCCCGATCTACTTTTGCAACATCCATATGAAACACTTGCAACATGCATATGAAACACTTTGAAACTTACGCTTGCAACACGCACTTGCAACATCCGAGGACGGAAGGGAGCCCGAGGTGTAGCTAGAGAAGCCCGCTCCCGATTTGGCCACTCCAGATCTCGTGATGTCGTGAGCTGAGCTCGAGCGTCACGGCAGCGCCGGCGTCAATAGCACCTCGACGCGGCAAGGGACGGGGCATGGCGCGCAGGGGCGGGGACCAGGCACAGCGCGACGAGGTGGAGTGGGCGAGGCGGGGGATGGAGCATGGCGCAGCGACAGACGTGGCGCGGCTCGACGTGGAATGGGGGCGCCGCCGTGAGGCGGCTTGGGGCGTGTGGGCGGTGCGGTGAGCCGCGACGAGCGAAGTGAGGAGTTGGGGATTTCTGTCGGCTATTGCAGTGTATATGGAATAGATAGAGGAGAGAGCGTAGATGGGCTTGTTGGGCTGGTCGTTGTGCTAGAGCGAGCGCGGAGCAGAACGTCTGATTTTTTAAAGATTCTGGACGTATGTTCTGTAGCACCGTCGATAGATTTACCATGGCACTACATACTTATAACACCTAAGAACTAGAATGCAGATTTGAACAGACAAATAAAAATTGTGATGTTCTGCTTGACGGTCGAAATCATCTTGCTTCATGCAGCAAAAAAGATGGTTGAATAACCGGAGAGCCTTGCATTTGCAGGTGTGCATTTCGTATGTCATCTCCAAGTTTAGTGCTTTGACTCAAATACCTTTAGGTCTTAGGACAGCTAATGATTTGCAATTGCAACAACCATTCATCCGCCAGCTTCGATAGATTCCGTTTGACCAGCATACAGTCTGTTCGCTCGGTCGTATTTGGTTTATAAGGCATGATTTATCAGCCAACGAATAATATTTTTTTTAGTATTTTTAACCATGACTTATCAGTTAAATAAGTCTAAACGATCAAGGCGATAGATAGCTGCGCCTTTGTTCTGCTTCTGCCAACGCTTAGCTTTTGTGTCCTCGCTCCAAGGTTTTAGCCCGCTGGCTTGCTCGCCAATGTAAGCGTATGTGTCATCGCGTAGACGAGGAACCTACGAGGCTACGACGACGTTCGAGCTTGGTTGATCTTAGGCTTGTTTAGATTGCCTTAAAATTTCAAGTTTTTTTTATTCTCTCTCTTCATCACATCAATTTTTAGACGTATGCATGGAGCATTAAATGTAGGTAAAAAAATAACTAATTACACAGTTTAGTTGTAAATCACGAGACGAATCTTTTGAGCCTACTATGATCGAACAAAGTTTGTCAAATACAAACGAAACGTGCTACAATATCCAGATTGCAAAAATCTGCAATCTAAACAAGGCCTTAGCTTCAGCAGGCAACCGAAATTCGTGCCTCAGTCGTCTGGATACAGCGTACAGCTGTCTGTATGTATACTGCAGATGCAAGTCCGAAATCGAATTCGCTGCCTGCGTGTACTGTACTTCTGACGTAGCTTCTTGGATCTTAGCTCCTGCTCCTTCGTGCTAAATTATAAATCATTTTAGTTTCATTTTAAATCAAACTCCTCTAATTTTGACTAATTAGATACACTATATATGATACATGTTTTGATTGAGCATTTATCTGATATTATAAAAAAAATTATACACATCACAATTAAACAAGTTTAACTAAAATGAATTACAATTTGAAACGAAAAGGGTACAAGAATCGCATCGGCCGATCGAGAAATCCCCACAATGGACGGTCGTCCCGAGCCGACAATTAATCGAAAAAGGAGACACCGGCCCGTCCATGATCGCTTTGCTTCATATGCACTCATTGGGAGATAGAGATAGATCGTTCATCCTGAGCCAAGTAAGAAGACAGGAATCAGTAGTATATTTGCAAATCCGTGGAGGAAAGTTTGATGGCTCGTCGGACGATGCACCGGCGACGACGACGGCCGCTGATCTCTCGGGGAACAGAGAACTCAAAACTGATCGAGGACACCTTGCTTCGGGGATAATACAACCCATGCCCATCATCGTAATCTCCACGTACGGTGCAGCTAGGTAGCTGGACGGCTGGACTGGGAGTTTCTTCGCTAGCGCCAACCGTGAAGCGATCTTGGCTGAACTGCCCAGTAGCAAGTCGGCAGCTGGAAGCGATGGAGCGAACAGATAGCGCCGACACCACCAAGGCACCAAAGCCCAAGTGCTTGTCAGTTTTTTTTTTTTTTTTGGCGACTCAGGGACTTCATTCATTCATTAAGGAGTGACAGAATTACATTCTTCAGTCACCAGATGATCGATGCAAGTTGGGGCTATATGCCACTCACCCAACCTGACCTCATCTGAGACTTGCTTTGTTAACACATGGGCGACCCGATTACAAGTTCGAGGCGCATACATCAAAGTAAAATCAAGAAAGCCTGAACTAATCTCTACAATGTCCCTGATAATTGGCGTAATATAAGATCGCTGGTTACTCCCTAGCGCCCACAGCTTGACTAGCTCTTGACAGTCCGTCTCGATTTGCAGTCCGAGCACTCCTTTCTCTCTGGCAAACTGAAGACCATCCCTACACGCGATGGCTTCCATCATCAAGGCATCAAGTCAGTGAGGGTACCACCGAGCACGTCCGCCACCAAAGCTCCCATCATCGGACCGGAGAACCACTGCTGTCGCCCCCTGGCCAGCGTTTGCATCAAATGCCGCATCAACATTGCACTTACACCAACCACTAGGCGGTGGCCGCCAATTTTGCCTGACAGTAACCGGCTTCACCGGCTTCTTCTCCTGGGTGATCTGCCATAGGTCGTGTGCCAGATCCACAGCCCAGTTAACAGCCACTCTGATTGGTGGCACATTCTCCCCATGTCGGCGCTGATTCCGTTGAGACCAGAGAGCATACATACCAATGATGAAAAGCCCCCTTTCCTTGTCAGTGCAGAATTCCGGCCTTAGGATATCCGATGCCCAGAACTGAGTGTGCATCTTAGGCAGTTTTGCGCCGGTCAGTGCCTTGACTTCATGCCAAAAGAGCTTCGCAACTGTGCAATCCATCAGAACATGCTTTATTGTTTCTTGTTCCGCACCACAAAGATCACAGAAGGCCAAAGGCTCTATATGGCGATGGTGTAGAATTGCTTTCGCCGGCAGAAACTCATGTAGCACTCTCCCCCAAAACACTTTGACCTTTGGTGGCACATCGAGGCCCCAAATTCTCTGCCATGAGATGTCTCCGGATGCCTGCGGTTGCAGTGTATCACCTTGAGTATGTTCAGTAGCAAGTTTCCTATAAGCCGATTTAACAGAATATACACCATGTTTTTCTGGTTCCCAAGCCCACCAGTCCTCCCCTTGTTGTCTGACTGGAAGTCGTAGGATTGCCCTTGCATCAACTGGGATAAAGGACTCTCGAATCAGCTCTTCATTCCAATGCCCGGATTCAGTTAATAAATCCGAGACTAGATCAATCTCCTGATCAGCCCTCGGAGTAAGAGGTCGGGCATCAAAATGCATAGGAATCCATCTATCTTGCCAAATATTTGTTGAGCCGCCATCTTCAATTCTTCGAATCATTCCTTTCTGAAGAATTTCTTTGCCAGCCATAATTGCTCGCCATGTATGACTTGCATGTTTCTTGCGTGTACTACTCATAAAATCCGTATCATGGTAGTAGCGCCCTTTTAAGACCCTAGCACACAAGCTTTCTGGTCTTGTAGTAAATCGCCACCCCTGCTTTCCCAACATTGCTTTATTGAAAAGGTGCAGATCCCGAAAACCCATGCCACCTTTCGATTTGTGCTGGGAGAGCCGATCCCACCGGAGCCAATGCAGACGGCGATTCTCAGCTGATCCCCACACCAGTAATTCGAAATAGCAGCCCTCATCTTCTTGCAAGTGACCTTAGACAACAAAAAACAGCTCATAGAATAGACCGGGACTGATTGCGCCACTGATTTTATAAGGACTTCCCTTCCTGCGCTGCTCGCCTCCCGACCACTCCAAGAGCCGATGACGCTCTTAATTCTCGCAGGCATGAACTCAAAGGTCCCAGCATTGGACCGTCCCACAGCCGTCGGCAGGCCCAAATACTTGTCAGCTAGCGCCTCTGTTTCTATGTTCAGCTCATGCTGCACTTGTGTCTTCTCCTGCTCCAAACAATTTTTACTGAAGAAGACTGCTGACTTATCTTTGTTCACCAACTGACCCGACCCTTGATTATAAATGTCAAGGATCGACTGAATCCTGGCGGCCCCTCTCTACGACGCTTCTGAGAAAATGATGCAGTCATCCGCAAAGAGAAGGTGCGAAATCCATGGCGCGTGGATGCCCACGCGAACACCTCTGGAAAAGGTACACTGGACTGACAGACTTCAGCAAACACGATAGGCCCTCCTCACACAAGAGAAATAAATAAGCGGAAATAGGATCTCCTTGGCGAATACTTCGTGTTGGTTTAAAACTTCCTGAGAGGGCTCCATTGACTTTGATCGAGAAGGAAACGGAGGTCACACATTTCAGTATCAGTGACACAATACCTTGATGAAAACCCAGCTTCAACATAATGCCCCGGAGGCACTCCCATTCCACTCGATCATACGCCTTAGCCATAACCAATTTAATGGCACAAGCACCAATTTTCCCTTTCTTTCTCTGAAGGTAATGCGTGCATTCGTATGCCACTAACACATTATCGGTAATTAACCTGCCCGGGACAAACGCACTTTGCTCCTCGGCCACGATCTCATCAAGAAAACCCCGCAGCCTGTTGGCAAGAACCTTGGAGCATAATTTGTAAATCATATTACACAAGGATATAGGCCGGAATTGCTTCATTTCCTGCGGGTGTTTAACTTTTGGAATGAGCACAACTGTTGTCTTATTCATACACTCTGGAATCTCTCCACCACTGAGAAAATCTAGGACTGCCGTGGTCACCCCGTCTCCTAACAATTCCCAGTGGAACTGGTAAAAGCCCGCCGAGAGCCCATCCGGCCCTGGAGCCTTACTTGCTCCCATCATGAACAAAGCTTCCCGTACCTCCTCCGCAACGAAAGGTTTCATCAGTGCATCATTCATTAGAGGTGTTACCTTTGTCGGGATTCGGTCCAGGATTGGTCCGGGGGCAAGCATTTCCTGACGCGTGAACAATCTTGAGTAAAAATCCATTGCTTCTGACTCCAGGTCCTCCTGGGTAGTCACCACTGTACCATCCTCCTTCCTCAGAGCCAAGACACGGTTAGATTGGGCCCGTTCCCTCAGCTTTTGAGTAAAAGAAGGAAGTATTTGTTGACCCACAGTTAGCCTCTCGACCACTATAGATAGCCTCTAGACCACTACAGATAACCTTCAGACCACCGAGATGGTCTCCAGACCACTCTAGATAGCTTTCAGACCACTACAGATAACCTCCAGACAACTCTGTTGGTCTCATAGGATCACCGGCTCACGACAGTGAACCACTCTAGCCGATCTTACCGAGCACTGGCTCAGGCGAGTGGAGCATTTGACGGTCTCGCCGAGCACGCGCTAGTGTTGCCGAGCACCCACTAGCCGTGCAGACCACGTACCGCCGTTGTCCGTACCCACACACTACGGACGGAGTTGGGAGAAGAAGGGAGAACAGAGCAAGCACGCACAATACAAGACAACAGCGTTGGCCGAGGCCCTGTCTGTGTGATGTCAAATCTGAGCTCTCTTTACTGAGTTGCCATACATGTCTATTTATACAACTCTAACTATCTAGTCCATGTGCGCGCCCATCTTGCACACATAACTAGATAACTTTGACAGTGGCGACTCTGCGCCACCCACCGCCTGTTCTCTGATCTTTGCAGGTGAGCCGTGCGGCGCCTACACACTGCGGCAGCTGCTCTTGTATCACAAAGCGGAGGCAAAAGTCGGCGCCGCCTTCCCTTGCTGTGTTCACACACAGCAGGCGGCTAAGTCGGCGCCGCCTTCCTCTGCTATGTTCATACAAGGTGACAGTAGATTAGCTAACAATCTTCTCCTAATCCTACTGCTAACCCTTGTACCCTCTCCATGCCGATCATCTCCTTCACCTCCGTGAGTCGAAGTCGTCCGAGCGGCTTGGTGAGGACGTCCGTGAGCTGCCGAGCAGTTTCGACGAACTCGATGACGATTTGCCCTCCATCAACACAGTCCCTAAGGAAGTGGAACTTCACGTCGATGTGTTTACTCCGATCGTGCAGAACCGGATTCTTCGCGAGGACGATGGCGGACTGGTTGTCCACCATCAGTTCTGGTGGGTGAGTTTCCACGCCGGTCAGCTCGCCCAGCAGCCGGCGTAGCCACACAACTTGGCACGCCGCTGTGGCCGCCGCTACGTACTCTGCCGCACGTAGATAGCGCCACCATCTTCTGTTCCAGCGACAGCCATGAAATTAGGGCTGACCCGAGGAAGACGAGCACGCCAGAGGTGCTCCATCGTCCATCGATGTCCCCCGCCATGTCTGCATCGCTGAATACCGTGAGCTGCAGCCTACTCCCCTCCGGTCTTTGGAAAGATGATTCCATGATTCACTGTCCCCTTGACGTAGCGTAGTAGCCGCTTCACCGTAGCCCAGTGATCCTCTCTGGGATCCTCCATGAAGCGACTGACATAGCCCACGGCGAACGCAATATCCGGTCTCATGTGGACTAGATAGCGCAGACTGCCGACGATGCTTCGGTAGAGTGTTGCATCCACCTTCGCCGCAGTGCTGGCCTTCGTCAGCTTCAGCCGCTCCTCCATCGGAGTCACGCATGGCTTGCACTCCACCATGCCGCTCCTCTCCAATAGCTTGGAGGCATACGCGTTTTGCCCGAGCATGAGTTCCTCCTTCCCCTGTCTCACCTCGATGCCGAGGTAGTACGAGAGAGCGCCGAGATCGCTCATTCGGAAACGAGCTGCCATCTCTCGCTTGAAGCTGTTGATATCCTCCGTGTGCGCGCCGGTGACAATTAAGTCATCCACATACACGCCGACCACAAGCTCTTCCTTCCCCCGTCATCGCGTGTAGAACGCGTGCTCGGTTGCGCACCTTTGAAACCCAAGCTCGCCCAGTGTGGCCTCAAGCTTGGCGTTCCATGCTCGAGGGGCTTGCCGCAGCCCGTAGAGCGCTTTGCGTAGTCGGAGCACCATGTGCTCCTCTCCCTTGACAGCGAACCCTGGAGGTTGCCTGACGAAGACCGTTTCCGCCAGCTCGCCGTTGAGGAAGGCCGATTTAACGTCCAAGTGATGGACACGCCAGTCCTTTGCCGCCGCCAAAGCAAGTAGCAAACAGACCGACTCCATGTGCGCTACTGGCGCAAAGACCTCCTCGAAGTCGATGCCCTCGCGCTGGACAAAGCCTCGGGCGATGAGGCGCGCCTTATGCTTGACAATGGCGTCGAGCTCGTCCCTTTTGACTTTGTACACCCACTTCAGGCTGATCGGACGACATCCTAGAGGTGGATCGACGAGGTGCCAAGTCTCGTTTTCCTCGATCACCTTCATCTCCTCCAGCATCGCCCGTCGCCAGTTTCTATCGCGCTCGGCTAGCGCGAACGTGGGTGGTTCCTCTGCACTGACGAGTAGCATCACTTGGAGGCGAGGTGAACTTGATCGGGGGTGATGGAGTTCCTTCTTCCGCTGGAGTGCCCTGCATAGCCCCCGAAGTGCTTGGCACTGCTTCTGGACTGCTCGTCATAACTCCTACAGTGTTCGGCCATACTGTAGGAGTGCCTAGCCTCAGTCTTGGAGTGGTCGGGACCATAGTAAGACGTCTTGGCTCCGCCACGGGAGTGCTCGGCACCCGTCCTGAAGTGGTCGCCACCACTGTAGAACCTCCTGGCTCCACTCCTGGCGTGCTTAGCATCCCTCCAAAAGTGCTCGACACTCCTCCCAGAGTGCTCGACATCCCTCCTGAAGTGCTCAGCACTGCCCCAGAAGTGCTCGACTCTACCGCCAGAGTGCTCGGCGCTCCTCCCGGAGTGCGTGGCACCTGTTCTGCAGCATCTCCACCGCCGTGGATGACCAAGTGCTCGACGACGAAGGTGTTGAGGAAGCCTCCCGCTTCCCCCATGCTCGGTCTGTTCCAGTCCCAAGCCACCTCCTCGTTGAACACAACGTCGCGCGAGACAGTCACCTTGTCTCCGCGTGGGTCATAGAGCCGGTATGCCTTGGTACCCTCCGCGTAGCCCAGGAACACCATGGGTGTGCTCCTGTCCTCCAGCTTGGTGAGGTTCAGCTTCGTCTTCCTGACGTGGCCGATGTAACCGAATGTCCGGAGGAATGACACGTTCGGCTTGCTCCTGTACCAAGCTTCGAACGACGTCTTGCCCGTTAGGGCCTTGGTTGGAGCGCGGTTGAGGATGAACACCGCCGTGGTCACCGCCTCTCCCCAGAACTTTGCCGGCATCCCTTTGGCCTTCATCATGGATTGGGCCATACCGACCACTGTCTGGTTCCGTCGCTCCACCACGCCATTCTGTTGTGGCGAGTACGGCGCGGTGTGATGTTGTCCCACACCCTGATTGCGCAGTACGTAGAAAACTCCACCGAAGTGAATTCACCACCCCGATCAGTCCTCAGTACGCGGAGCTTCTTGCCGCTCTCGGCCTCC